ACTACGTAAGTTATAAGCGATCAAATAAAAATACCCAGGTTGCGCAACTTCAATGTATGTACCTATACATACATACATATATTAAAGGTATAAAGTGCAAGTGAGATATTATCCGGATAAACGAATAACACCATAACAATGATAACACTTTTTCTTTAAATAAATCAAATAGTACTTTTAATACTCGAATTGTATTATAGTAGGTAGAGTGGTTGCATCGAAAGGAAGAGTGGTTGGGTTCGAAACCTGCTGTAGGCATGTAGTTATAAACATGTATTTCCGTCAGTTATGGGTAAGTATGCAGGTAGATTTTCAAAATTATAAGACACAGAAAATTTCTAAAGCCTACATCTAAAACAGGTAGTATTTTCTTTTCCCGGCTTGTTATAAAAAGGAACCTTTCTGTCTAGGTAAGATTTGATTTTTTCAATTTTATTCTTGTTCCGAGTATAAATATGAGTTAATGCGCTTTGAAACTTCATAACATCTTCAAGGCTCGCCGGAGATAGTTCAGTTCATAAGTCTAATTTCAAAACCGTGATTTATTAAAAAAAAAATAAAATGAGTAAAAGGACGCGAGAATTTGAGTGTAATAAGGATCCAGATATGTTCTGTTTCATGTGTGGCCAATATACTATCATAAGGCGACGACGAGTGTTCTCAGATCATATCAAAACTTTATACTCCAAGTATTTTGGAATTGAGCCTAAAAATGCTGAAAAACCATGGACACCGAACACTTTGTGTACATCGTGTCGAGTAGAATTGATTCAGTGGGAATCAGGACAACAAACAAAATTTGATACACCAATGATATGGAGAGAACCTACTTGCCATTCAATAGAGTGTTATATTTGTCAAACAAAAGTACTTGGCGTTGGAAGATCAAGAGGAGTAACCTATGCTAGCGTACCTACAGTGACATTACCAGTACTACATTCAACGGCAGTTGCGGATCCAGTTCCATTGTCAACAGTAACATCTGAGTGCGGGGGATCAAGTTGTACTGAATTTCGCATGGAAAACGAAAGAAACGTTCTGTCACAAGCACAACTTAATGATTGGATAAGAGATTTGGAACTATCCAAGGAAAAGGCCGAGATCCACACTTCTCGTATGCAACAATTTAGATTTGTGTCATCCGATGTTAAGGTGACATATAGTAGAACTCGTCACGAACCATTTTCCAAACACTATACCAAGAAAGACAGTATATGCTACTGCAACGACATCCCTGGTTTATTCAAAGAGTTTGGTCAAACATATGATTCAAAAGAGTGGCGATTGTTCATAGACGGCAATAAACTGAGTTTGAAGGCTGTATTATTGCATATTGGTAACAAAAAGCCTTCTATCCCGATTGCACATGCAGCAAATACAAAGGAAACCTACGAGGAAATGCAAAAAATACTCAAATTTATCAAATATGAAGAGCATGATTGGAAAATATGTTCTGATCTCAAAGTCGTTGCAAGGCTATGCGGTCTACAAAGTGGCTACACCAAGCACTGCTGCTTCCTCTGCAAGTGGGATAGCCGAGCTCGTAAGGACCACTACGTCAGAAAGGATTGGCCGG